AGACCTACCTTCCTCTCGAGGCAAGCCCCCCCCCCCATGTCCCCTGTGGGTCCTCGCCGCGCCTCCGTTTCCCCGTGAGTCAGACGGGTGTGGAGCTGCTCACGTGGACGATGAGAGCTGGGGCCTCGTGCCGGCAGGTCCCTGGCGCCGGGCGGAACGTGCTCCGAGAATGAACTTTCTCACTGGTTGTTTGAAAATGCCCTGCTGGGAAGAGGGCCCCCGGGGGCGCCCGGTCCTGGCGCTTTTCTGTCGGTGGTTTACACTCTCGGTCCTTGTATACCCCCCACCCCCACCCCCACCCCCCATCGAAGGCCGTGGCTCAGCTTCACCCGCGTGGCCTGGAGGTGGACTTCCGTGGCGGGCAGCTGTTTCCCTGTGAGGACAGAGGCCACAGCCCGGCGCCGGGACAGCGCCCACAGGGTGGTGCCTTGTCACCAGCGGGGTTTAGTCCTGCTGTCAGCCCTGCCCCCCGTGTCCTGGGGCCCCCCAGCCCTGCGCTGACGCCACGTCTGCGCCTCTGCAGGTCTGTAACATCGTGGCAGGACAGAGATGTATAAAGAAGTTGACCGACAATCAGACCTCAACCATGATCAGAGCGACGGCCCGGTCGGCGCCCGATCGGCAAGAGGAGATTAGCAAGCTGGTGAGTGACCCGTCCTGGGGGCGCCCGGGTGGGGACAGACACGGCTCTGGGAGCCGCAGACTCCCCTGACTCTGCCTGTTCTACGCTTTCCAAGATGAGAAGTGCGAGTTTCAACACCGACCCCTACGTCCGGGAATTTGGAATCATGGTCAAAGACGAGATGACGGACGTGACGGGCCGGGTCCTGCAGCCGCCCTCCATCCTCTACGGGGGCCGGGTACGTGCGCGGGCGGGGCCCGGGGTGTCCCCCATCGGGTGCCGCCCCAAGTCCAGGCAGGGAAGTGAGTGAGGGCTGCACGGGAGCCGGTTTCCTTGGCTCTCCTTGGAGTTTTCGGAGTCAGCCTCTATCTCCCGAGGGTGACTGGTGCCATGGAGAGTGGCAGCCCTGCCCTGGGCCGCGGGCGCTCTCGGCGACGAGCT